TGACACCCCTAATTTCACAGGTTCGACCTACCTGGTCAGGTCGCGGGGTCAAGGGGCAGCGCCCTTGTGGGGGTTTCCGAGGGCAGTGCCCCCAGAACAAAATTTGATTTACTATTTCTTTTTGTATATGGTTCATCATTCCCTGACAATAATACCTCTACATAATGTGTTTAATTATAAGGGGGGCAATTGTCTAAAGACCATGATAATTTAAAACTTTTAGGGGGGCAATTGCCTTAAAACCCTTATATTATAACTTTTGTGTTTTAAAAATTGAAGTTATAACCACTCTTTTTTTTATAAAAAAATTAGTCATGTGCTTGCTCTGATATGTTTTTTAATCTTAAATTTTGACTAAAATAACATATTTAGTCAAAAATTTTAGATCATTATAAGCGTTTTTTTAATGAAAATTGATTTAATTTTGTGACCAAAAGTTTTTATTAAAATTTTAATTTGAAAAATAAGACTAAATAAACATTTTTACCAATATAATTTATAATATCTGTGTAGAAATGTGAAGAAAGTATGAGAAAAAAAAAATTATATGAAGATATATTTACAAATCATTTGGAATGTATTAAAAATTATTATATTTTAATTAAAATTAACGCGCACGTCATATGAAGAATTTGTATTATATTAATTTTAGAATAAATTTATTAGTTTCGAACTCCGCATATAATCTGTATCAAAATATTTTGATATATTATTTATTAAACTATTTCTATAAAAATTTATAATAATGATGGTAAATTTCAATCATATTATTTAATAAAAATTGAACATAAGTTTAATTAATATCAAATTTAAACTATTAGTTATCTTTATTTTGGACAACTGTGAATAAGCCAATGACAAATATTAATTAAGCAATATTCATTTGGGACAACATTTTAATTACTTTCTAAAATAATTTTTAGTACAAAAAAATTTTAAACTAAAAGATTTTTTACTAAAAAGTTGCTTCAAAAAACAGTAAGAAAGCAATTCCAAACGAAGCCATAATGTGGCTAAAATATTTAATAGTCACATTTCTTCAAAAAATAATATTTATAAAATTAAATATGATAAAGTGTAATTTTTTGTCATAATTTAAAAATTAGTTCACCATTTAATTTTTAATCTAATTTTAATGCAACATATATCATTATAATCTAAAATTTTAAGTGAATTTATGATCATTGATTGTGTATTTAAGTTGATTGAGATTAAAAAAAAAATTTAAAAAAAAGTTCATTGACATTTAATTAATCAAAATTTATATTTCACTTATTTTAAAATTATTGATCAGGATATTCACCTTTAAATTTATTAAAAAAAAATTCTAAAATTTCCATTAATGCGCAACATAACCATAACACATTAATATAGTTAAACTTTATGAGCAAGAAAAAGCAAAAACCATTATTTAACATACCAACAATTCATATATATTCCCCTTACAAAAGTTTACTGATGAGACCAAAGGAAGGCACCAATGGCAAACTTTCTCTTGCCGTCGAGATCTCCGGTGATCACCGGCAAGCCATACTCGACAAAAAGGCGGTCGAGCTTCCACTCCGGCATGTCCTCGTAGTCGACCTTCGTGTATCTTGGATAATGAAGAGGCATCTGAAAGCAACTTTTCTGATCATCTCTCGCCTTATTTCTGTGCCCATTCATCTTATTTGCCACAGCTTTAGCATTCGAAACAGCACTAGTACTCATCTTTGAATCCTTCTAGTTTCTGCTGCTTAGTTAGATTGGTTTCAAAGAGGCTGATATTGGATTTTTATAGTGTGGAGAAGTGGAAGAATGGATCCAGATTCTGCTTGTATGGTGAGGCAGTTAATGGATGGAAAAGGAAAGGTTCATTAATAATTAATACTGTAGGCTACTTGCTTCAGGCTCACATGTCGCTGCAGTTTGAGCGCAAATAATATGAATGTTCTTTTAAGGTCTTATTTGAGATAACTTTTTTGTTATTTTTTAAAGTAGTTTTTTAATATAATTTTTTTTAAACTAGAAATTTTTATATTAAAAAAAAAACTTTAGAAAGCAGTAAAAAATACTTTCCCTAATAAAGTGTAATATATTTTCTACATAGGCATGCATGCATGTTTACCTTTGCACATATAGATGAAATTTTATGTTACTTATGTAGTTATATATTTCACATTATTATTGTGAAGTTTTTAATTATAGTGCAAATATGTTATTCAATACACTTATTATTTTGTAATTTTATGTTGAATGTACTCAATTTTGTATTCAGAAGGTTAATTTTTATTGAGAAATATGATTCATTTTCAATCTATCACGGCTTTTTTTTGAGACAGTTTTTTTATATTTTTTTAAAACGAATTTGTAGTACATATTTTTTTGAAAGCAACAAAAAAGTAATGATCAAAAGTTGTCTAGGTTTCGTTCGGGATAGTTTTTTTTTTATTATTTTTTAAAATAATTTTCTAGGACAAATTTTCTTGAACTAAATTTTTATATAAAAAAATATTTTAGGAGTAGTAAGAAAACTGTATCAAACGAAACCTAAATCATTTGTGTTGCGGGCAAGAATATGCGCGGCAATAGAGTTTTAATCGTTCGTCTTAGTGTTATACGGATATCCAGCTCACACACAGAGAACAAATAATTTTTTACGTGGAAAACCCTTGAAATGGGAAAAACCACGGGGCCTAGCTCAGTTGATAAGATTTCACTAGAACTTGAGTTGGTTACCAGGGGTCTCGTCTATGAGGACGATCAGATTACAAGTAGCAATTGTACAATAGAAATCCGGATGTCAAGAGATGATCTGACAGAGCTTCGGACCTCAGAGGATGGTCTGACAGAAATTCGGGCCTTAGATGATGATCTGACAAAGATGAGGGTCTTGGGTGAGATCTGACGACGGGTCTGATTAAAAGTGAAGGCCTTAAGTTTAGTTGGGTCCGGCGGAACAACGCATTAGATGGCTGGTTCGGCGGCAGCACAGGGCGTCAGGTGGTTGGTCCGGCCAGAAGCAACGATGTTAGACGGGGCTCCGGCGCAGGAAATTCTGTGGCCGGAGAGCACAAGGGGTTGGCCTGCGTCAGTATGGTGTTGGTTCGGTGCCTAGCAAACGGCGTTAAGCGGTGGTATCGGTGGATTAAAAGCCAGAGCAACGGCGTTAGGCGCTGTTCTGAGCGGTATTGGATTCGGCGGACTTGATGGGCATTCGCGAGCAGTGGTGGTGGTTCGGTGAGCACAGGGCGTCCTGGATGCTGGATCGGCGCGAAGCAACGGGCGAGTTTTGGGCAGTGCTCCGGCGAAGCACAGGGCGTCATGTGGTGGGCTTTCCGACGAGAGTGGTGTCCGACGGAAAAAGCAATGGCATTAGGCGGGTGGATTCGGCGGGCACAGGGCCGTCAGGTGCGTGGCTCCGGCGACAGCCAACGGCGTTAAGCGGTTGTCCGCGTTGATGGAGAAGCAATCGATGGTTCGTCGGTAAACTCCGGCGGTGGAATCCGCGCGAAAATAATTCCGGCGGGTGGTCGAGGAGGCTAGGAAGCAAGAGCGATCTCCGATCTCTCTCTTTATATTCCTTAGGCTCAGGGGTCTCTTTTTCAAGAGGAGAGCGAGCTCTATTTATAGATTTGGGAATTGACAATGACTTTGCAAATAAGGTGGAGACTCAAGGGAAGTTCGGGAGTGTGGAATGAACGGCTCGCATCGATCTTGATATCCTTGATCGATGAACCGTTTGAATGGACATTCGTGAACATGTCTAGTGATCTCGGGAATTCAGTGACTAATTGGGGCTCATTGGCATTATGGCTCGTCCGAGCAGCTCAAATTCGAGTAGTATGAGCTTCATTTTTAATTGGTCTTTTATTTTTGGGGGAAACCGGTTATTTGATTTAATTCCCAAAAAAATTTTTTGCGGTTTGAAACTTTCCAATAGCCTTTCATGCCTTTGGATTTGGAACCGATTGGGCTATGGATATGGGAAATTGAAATTTTTAAAAGGTGTA